CATAACAAATGGGTTAGGGTAGAGAAAAAAGCTCGAATCATCCATGAAAACGCATCCATAGGATCGGATAATGTTGCCATCAGTGACCGATCTAGCTCTGCATCCTATTTAACGTTCCTGACTGCAATGATAGCCTTCTGGAGCATAAGGACACATTTAATAAGCAACAGTGGACCTCCCTTTGTGTCATGCTAGGTCTGGGTGCTTTCGAGGCAAAACTGTGTCTACTGTACAAAGGCATCCATTCACCCCCAGGGAAGCCTCTGCCAATGAGAGTGACTCTAGGCTCAACTAGAGACGATGAAAGGTTCCTTTTACTGTCACACACTCCAATATTAGAGCTAGACCTGACCTATCATAGATGTCAAGAAAGACGTCTCGAGAAGCAGCTGATCCACTAAAACCCACAACCATGGTCATACGTGAAATACACCCATGACGTCCAACAACGGGAGTGGTTATCAGCTCGGATGGAGCTGAGTGGAGTTTCAGCAGTGGCAATCGGCAGACTGCCACGCCGCTCACATCGGACAACCATGACTTCACCTAGACTAATGGCTGTCAACTTCGAATCCGCAGTCCTTACCAGAGTGCTAGAGACGTTATAAAGTCAAGAGCACCATAAGCGGGAATGTTCACTGTTGTGAAAGCAGACCGAGAACACTGCGACAACAACAAATAGCAGTTACTCTCAGGGCTCAGGCCTCCATCACCCTAAACCGACACGTTGAGAGTCAGACCGGCAAGCTCCACATGGGAACGACTGTACAAATCGACCCGGGAAAAAACTTAACTGGGCCGGTTCCATTGGAACTGGTCAGTTAGTGAAAACCCTCGCATCCAAACTTGTGCTACTAGTTAACCCAGAGACATCTCACGTTACGAGGAGCATTTCCAAGTGTCTTTACAGCAACGTGAGAGGACTCCGAAATAAAATATCAGAGCTCCAATCCCTCTGTTCCTACCTTGTCTCGAAAATCATAATCCTGACGGAAACATGGTTATCATCGGACATAAGTGACACAGAAGTTAACATAGACGATATGTTTCTGTTCAGGAAAGACAGAGAACACAAGGACGGAGGGGGGTTGCAATATACGTGAACAGTTGGTTCAAAGTGAACAAACCACTGACACTATACTGACAGAGCTCCTAGACTATCTGGTGCCACTTCACGGTCAAATACACTAAGTACCTAGTTAGAAGAATCTATAGGTTCCCTAATAGCAACTTGGAACACGACCAAAAACTACTCCAAGTAATATCGACAATGTCGACTATGGGATATGACCATATCCCAATAGCTGGCGACTTCAACGCTCCAACTCTCAGCCTAGAGCGAGGTGGCACGACTCCGAGCCGGAAGTTCGACTGTAACCTGCTAAATGCCATCCAAATGGCTGGACTACACGGAAAAATTAGCGACAACACCCGTTCGGGGTCAGATGGTAAACCATCTAAACTGGATTACCTACTGACTAGTGATCACCTTCTGGTTGAAAACGTCCAGGTCCAAACTCCTCTTGGAAGCAGCGATCATCCTATAGTGGTGTTCGACCTGATAATCAGTGAACAACTATCGTGGGACGGACCTCGTCCTTACCTCTGTTACAACAGGGCAAACTATGAAGGAGTAAACCAAAGCCTATCGAGAGCTCCGTGGCCAGTGGATTGGTGTTCCTTATCGGTTGACCAACGCTGGGAGCTGGTAAGAGACGTCATTAAGGCGATCTCGCAAAACGTCCCCTTGGTGATAACAACACCCGGAAAGCAGACCTAATGGCTAAATTGTTTTAGCCAGGGCACTGTGCACTTTCTAAAAGCCAAGAGAAAGGGATGGCACAAATGGAAACTCTCCAGAGAAGAGGATGGTCACGACGCATATATAGCTCTACGAAATCGAAGCAACATCAGGGTGCGAGGAGACAGGAGGTCGTTCCAGTCCAACCTCGCCAAGAAACTTGAGGCAAACCCCAAGAGCCTATACCGATTCATGACAAAGAGAAAGTCGACAAGCCAAGTAGCATGCATCATAAAAGATCTGAACGTGGAAAACCTCTGGACAGGAGATCGCCGAAATGTTAGGCACCACATTTGACACAGCTCAATATCCCACCAGGAAAGTTTGCATACCTACTGCCCGAACAGACTCAAAGTTATCCGACTCTGCAGAGTAACACGAAGTACAGATAACTCTTGCTGTTGTTCTCGACAAGTTATCAAAGCTAAGTGACGGAAAATTCCCAGGGTGCGAAGACATTCGCCAATGTGTGTTGAGAGAATGTGCAAGTACCTTAAGTGGCCCACTCTGCAGTCTCTTTCAATACTCCTTAAACGAACAAAAACTCTCACAAGAGTGGAAACGGGTCATCCTCTCCCCTATCTTCAAAGGAGGAGACAGGCAGAATTCACTGTTGTAGATCCATAGCACTTCTCCCCGTAATATCAAAAGTTATGGAATGTGTGACAGACGACTGCGTCAGGGGATATCTGGACACGAAGCAAAGACTCAGTGACGCTCAACATGGCTTCCGAAAGTGTAGGCCCTGTGCCTCCAACCTCCTGATGGCCCATGATCACTGGACAGCATGCTGGGATCTCAAGGTCCCGGTCCAAGTGATTTTTCTGGATTTCACCAAAGCCTTTGACCCTGTCTCACACACCATCCTAATACACAAAATAGCTGGGTTAGGTATCCGCAACCGGGTGGTATCGTGGCTGAAGAACTACTTAGACAGTAGGGAGTTCTGCGTTGCTATTAGTCACTGCTACTAGTCATAGCTTGAGAGGATCGGTGGAAGACTGCCGCTCCTTCTGGAGTACGTGTTTGGATAGCGACCACGCTCCCCTCTGACTAGTCTAAATCACTGATTATCCCAGTCTTCAAGAAAGGCGAGAAGTCCTCTTGTGATAACCACACAGGAATCAGCCTGACAAACATAGTGTCTAAGATCCTAGGTTCTATAATTCTCCGACGCCTGAGTGGAGCTCGGGAACAGCAAGCCCGAGAAAACCAGGCAGGCTTTAGACCTGGCCGTGGATGTATCGACCAAATATTCACACTGCGCCAGGTCCTGGAACATAGGCATGCTTACAGACGCCCGACAATAACTGTATTTCTCGACCTGAAGGAGGCATTCGACCCCGTTGATCGAGAAGTCTTATGGCAATGTCTCTCACTGAAAGGCGTGCCGAGTAAGTGCATCACCTTATTGAAGGTTCTCTACTCGAACACTTGTGGGCGTGTTAGAGCCTATGGTGAGATGTCCAGGGAGCTGTACTTATCGAGTAGTTTCCGTCAGGGATGCTCACTGTCTCCATTCTTATTCAATTTCATCATAGATATTCTTATGGAGGTCTCCCTCGTCACCAGGTTACACAAACGTTGACCTAATCACAGGAGAATTTCTGTTAGACCTAGAATATGCAGATGACATAGTCCTGTTAGGTGAAGACGCTAACAAGATCCAGAGTCTTCTGAACACTTTGAGTGACAATTTGAGAATGTTTGGGATGCGTTTCTCACCACCCAAATGCAAATTGTTGCTCCAGAATTCGTCTTCAACGGTGCCACGGCTAATAACAGAGAGTGTAGTGATTGAGTATGCCGGCCACTTCACTTACCTGGGAAGTAGGATCAGCCCTGATGGCTCAGTGGCCGGTGAAATCTCTGCACGAATAAAAAAGCTTGATTGGCTTTCGCCACCTATGGCGCCGCCGTAATATCTGTTTGTCTATTAAGGGTCGCGTGTACTGCACAGCAGTCCGGTCTGTTCTACTGTATGGCTGTGAAACATGGCCATTGAAAGTGGAAGACATGAGAAGGCTACAAGTGTTTGACTACCGTTGCTTCCGTAGTGTAGGTCATATTCCGTGGTGTCACGACGTGAATAACCCAGAAGCCAGGAGTTGAGTTTTAGGGAGAAGAGGTAAGTCAGTTGAGGTTATGAACCTTCTTCGACTGAGATGGTTGGGACACGTGTTACGTATGCCTAGTCGCCGGTTGCCTCGTCACACAATGTTGGCTGAAGTAGGTCCAGGCTGGAAAAAGGCCCAAGGTGGCCAGACTAAAACATGGTACCAATGTATGAAGTCTCTGACTGTTGGTTTGAGTCATGTAGGGCGATGCAGACTAGGTGGTTGGGGTGCTCGGGACAAGAGGAATCAGTGGTTGGAGACTGTAGATGATATGGTTCAGAACCGATGTCAGTGGTGCAGATGTATACATACGTTATCCTCATCTTAACACTACACCGATTCTCACCATTTCGTCATTCTTCCTTTCTTTCTTCTCGTACTTTATATTTTTTTTGACTCCACTCTCTTATCTTCATCTTGCGCCTCATCGCCTTTTTACTTGATGTACTGATATGAGGTGTGGCAACTCGGACCGTTACGCAGTAATGCCTGGTTCCATGTTGATATTGATGATGATGATGATGATTAACCATGATGTCCCGCCTCTTCTGTCAACCTGTTGGTTTTCGCCTGTAGATCTTCGAGTTTGTGTGACCTTAGACCTTCTAGGCTGTTTTCATCGGTCCAGCCAGCGTATTCCCCTCTTCTCGCTCCCCCCTGTTTGTTGCATGATCTAGTCCAATCGACCACAATCAGGAAGATCATCGGTGATTGTAGGTGGCAGTCTTGTCTTACTCCTGTCTTCACTTCAAAGGCATCACTGAGCTTCTCCTTGTGAATTACTTGGCATGTGGCGTCTTCATATAGCTATTGAATGAGGTTGATAAAGGTTTGTGGTATTCCATAGTGTTGGAGCAGTTGCCAAATTACTTCTCGGTTGACACTGTCGAAGGCCTTTTCAAAGTCGATGAAGTTGAGGTAGACAGTTGACTGTCATGGTCCTCATGAGTAGTTACACATAACTTTATAGTTGATGAAGTGTTAATTACAAGTAATTAGATGAATTTAGTGAAGACAGTATATAAACCTAACCATTCATTTCTGTCGTCCATAAAGTAAAAAACCCGTAAAGTAAAACATACGTGCTTGATTCAATCACATCACGAAGAAAATCAGTTTGCCCGAATTCAGGATACATAAAGAGTATAGGCCAATGAAGTTTCCCCAATGAATCCACATAAAATTTAGAATATGACGTTTCTGGGAAGTCAATAGGTTCCAATTTGTGATTAACATTGATTCCACGAGACTAAATGTCAGAAAGTTGAAAAGGGAAACAATCTAGAGACGAAATTTTAGTAATCAGAATAGCGAATCACTAAAATCTTCGCAACCATAGCTTGTGATTTGTAATAACATTCTATCAAGAGTAACATTCATTTATGGATTCCATTGCGCTCATGTAAAGGTGCTTTTTACACCCCACTGAAATAAGTAGTTAGATTGAAGCATACTAAATACTAGAGTCAGCTTAACAACATTCGCTCAATACATGCAAAAGGTTCTAAAGGAGTGTACAGAAGTTTTTCTCAAAACTATAAATCTTATTTTATTATAATGTGAATGCAACTAAGTAGTTACGTGCAGGTTTCTGAAGCATCCCTGTTATGCCTGTTATGGAATAGCATGAGTCTCCAATTTGCTTTCAGAGGAGACGACTGGAATGATAGAGACAGCACTTCAGGAAACAGTTCCATTAGGCTCCAGCGAGCCTATAGTTGCTCGCTAACAATCCGGGCCCCGAGTAAAACATTGAGAATAGCTTCCCAACTCTTACAGAAGTAAAAGATTTTGTCATCTGAGTAACATTGTGCTGAAGGTACGTAGAGGGCGCCTTGGAATGTTGAATTTAATGCCCTTCATCTTAATTACGGGACAGCGGGAAGACCAGGAATTAGTAAAGGTATGCTGTCGACTCTGTCATCGTTATGTAGCCCTTCACATCTCCTTAAACTCTAAATGCTATATGCTGAATGCATATTTATGAAACTGTGCACAAGGAAGTTGCAGTGAAATGACGATGAAGAATTAGACAACTCTGTCAGCACTCAAGTTTCTTCTGACTGCTATCCTCCTCCTCCATCATTACCTTCTAATCTTCCTTCACGTCTCTTAATTAATGATGCTGCATCATCTTCAATTTCTCCTACCTCTGCAGCCTTCGACAACGATCTGAGTCCACAGAACAGCATCCCTGGTCTCCTTAAACCACGCTCCAAATTACATATTGGAGCCTTCAATGTCCGCACCCTCCGTCAAATTGGCCAACAGGCTTCGTTGGCAAAGACTCTAGCAACTCGGGCATGGATGTGTGCTGTGTTTGTGAGACACGCATACAGGACCCAAGTGTGGTTATTCACCTGACCTCTCCTGACCAATCTGGTGAATCCGCAAAATTCACCCTTCGAGTTTCTGGAGATTCGATAGCTAGCTCTCGTGGTCTTGCAGGTGTAGGTATAGCATTAAGCACCAGGGCAGAAAACTCACTACTAGACTGGATCCCAGTTGATAGTCGCCTCTGCGCTATGAGGCTGAACGGCACAGTGAGAACTAAAAGGAATAGTGAGACTCGCCGTTGTCTCTTTGTAATCTCTGCTTACGCACCCACTGACTGTAGTTCGGATGAAGTGAAGGACGAGTTCTACCATAAACTGTCTAACCTCCTCTCGAAAGCCAAACGTTCGGACGTAGTGGTTGTTGCAGGTGACCTCAACGCACAGGTGGGTAGACTGAGTGAGGCAGAAAGGCACTTAGGTGGCACTTTCGGAATCCCAGCTGAACGTACAGATAACGGTGATCGCCTATTACAACTATGCTCAGATAACCGCCTATTTTTAGCCAGCACAAATTTCAGACATAAAGAAAGGCACTGTCTGACCTGGCGTCCACCGAGCTCGACTCAGCGATGGACACAGATAGACCACATTGCTATTAGTCATCGCTGGAGAGGATCGGTGGAAGACTGCCGCTCCTTCTGGAGTACGTGTTTGGACAGCGATCATGCGTTGGTCCGAGCACGTATATGCCTGCGTCTCAATGGACGTAGAAAAAATTTGGCAACAAAACCACTACGAGTTCTGCTGGACAACGAAAACACCAAAGCCGTGTTCAGTGAGAAGTTGGCTAGGCAGTTATCGGAACAAAAGACTGTCACTCATCCAGAAGAAGCTTGGTGCCATCTTCAGTCTACTGTAAAAGCAGCACTGGAGACTGTAGCCGACTCCAAGATAATGGCTAAAAAGAGCCAGTGGATATCAGCAGCTTCTTCCAAACTAATGGATGCACGTGAATGCATCCCTGCAGGCTCTGAGTACAATGAAGAGCGAGCGCAACTTAAAAATAAACTGACGAAAAGTCTGCGCAACGATCGTGAACAGTGGTGGGCAGCAAAGGCTAAAGAGATGGAAAAGGCAGCGGCGATCGGTAACAGTAGACAGTTATTTAGACTTATTAAGGAGACTGGGGGGAAATGGTCAACAACAGTTAGTGAGGTTATAGCGGAGAAGGACGGATCGGCGATTCACTCGCAGGGAAGGCGACTGGGACGATGGGCAGAACACTTTGAGGAACAGTTTAACTGGCCTCCAGCCACCATTGCGCTGCCCGCTATCCAGTCGGACCCTGAATGGGACATAGAGACAGGTCCCCCAACACTAGAAGAAGTTGAGAAAGCGGTAGGTAGCCTGAAACGGGGAAGGGCAGCAGGACCAGACGGACTACCTGCTGAGGTATACAAGAATGGTGGTAGAGTTCTCTTAGTCAGGCTAACGGAAGTGTTAGCCAGTATATGGGAATCAAATACGATCCCCTCCGACTGGTCTAAGTCACTGATCATCCCAGTCTTCAAGAAAGGCGAGAAGTCCTCTTGTGATAACCACAGAGGAATCAGCCTGACAAACATAGTGTCTAAGATCCTAAGTTCTATAATTCTCCGACGCCTGAGTGGAGCTCGGGAACAGCAAGCCCGAGAAAACCAGGCAGGCTTTAGACCTGGCCGTGGATGTATCGACCAAATATTCACACTGCGCCAGGTCCTGGAACATAGGCATGCTTACAGACGCCCGACAATAGCTGTATTTCTCGACCTGAAGGCGGCATTTGACTCCGTTGATCGAGAAGTCTTATGGCAGTGTCTGTCACTGAAAGGCGTGCCTAGTAAGTACATCACCTTATTGAAAGCTCTCTACTCGAACACTTGTGGGCATGTTAGAGCCTATGGTGAGTTGTCCAGGGAGCTATACTCATCAAGTGGTGTCCGTCAAGGATGCCCACTATCCCCATTCTTATTTAATTTTATCATAGATATTCTTATGGAGGTTTCCCTCTCGTCACCTAATTACACAAACGTTGACCGGATCACAGGTGAATTTTTCTTAGATCTAGAATATGCAGATGACATAGTCCTGTTAGGTGAAGACGCTGACAAGATGCAGAGTCTTCTGAACACTTTGAGTGGGAATTTGAGAATGTTTGGGATGCGATTTTCACCACCCAAATGCAAATTTTTGCTCCAGGACTGGTCTTCAGCGGTACCGCGGTTAACAATAGAGAGTGAAGTGGTTGAGTGTGTTGACCACTTCACTTACCTGGGAAGTAGGATCAACTCCGGTGGGTTAGTTGCCGATGAGATTTCTGCACGGATACAAAAGGCTCGATTGGCTTTTGCCAATTTGCGCCACCTATGGCGCCGCCGTGATATTCGTTTGTCTATTAAGGGTCGCGTGTACTGCACAGCAGTCCGCTCTGTTCTACTGTATGGCTGTGAAACATGGCCATTGAAAGTGGAGATACAAAAAGGGTTCAGGTGTTTGACCACCGTTGCCTTCGTAGTATAGGACGTATTCCGTGGTGTCACCATGTGAGTAATGCAGAAGTTAGGTGTAGAGTTTTAGGGAGAAGAGGTAAGTCAGTCGACGAGGTTGTGAACCTTCATCGACTGAGATGGTTGGGACACGTACTACGTATGCCTAGTCACCGATTGCCTCGTCACACAATGTTGGCTGAGGTGGGTTCAGGCTGGAAAAAGGCCCGAGGTGGCCAGACTAAAACATGGCACCAATGTATGAAGTCTCTGACTGTTGGTTTAAGCCATGTAGGACGATGCAGACTAGGTGGTTGGGGTCCACGGGACAAGAGGAACCAGTGGTTGGAGACCCTAGGTGATATGGCTCAGAACCGAAGTCAGTGGCGCAGATGTATACACACATTATCCTCATCTTAACAACGCTATACCGAATCTCACTATTTTGTCACTCCTCTTTCCTTTCTTCTCGTACTTTATATTTCTTTTGACTGCATTCACTTATCTTCATCCTTCACCTCACTACCTTTTTACTTGATGTGCTGATATGAGGTGTGGCAACTCGGACCGTTACGCAGTAATGCCTGGTCCTATGTTGATAATGATGATGATGATGAGACCTATAAATGTTAGGAGTGTGTTACCTATCTTGCATTGTTCACCTAGCTGCCCAATAAGTGCTTCCTTGAGCAAAAAAGTGATTACCGATTTGATGAATTCCATGCCTTCTCGGACGCTTCTGCAGTCGGATATAGTATTGTGGTTTATGTCCGATCAAATTTTGAAGACAGCGTTTACATTCGGTTAGGAGTAGGCAAATCAAACGTACCACCTCTTAAGAGTATTTTAATTTTGATGGAAGAAATTAGTGTAGCAGAACGTAATAAGAAAATCCTTACTATTTGACCTCTGCAGCCATATCTACCTTAGTTTTTCTATCTTCGTCTCTGCACGTGAGCATGCTTTTACTGTCCTGTTTCTTTATCTTTGGAGTTGTCGAATTTCTTAGGAGCACCTACGGCAATTTCCCCTCTTTGGAGAAATTATTTTATATCAGTCTCTTGTAACTCACTTTATCTATCTGTACTTTGTTGAGTGTCCGAAGGCCTTGTTCATGGCATTGTTTTATTACTTTGCTCAAGGTTGTATAATAAGCCATCACAGTGGCTTTCATTTAGTTGTTTGTTTGAGGCATTCCTTTTGTTTTATCTGGCTGTTACAGACATACATTTGAGTCCCTTTTGTCGAGAACATTTTCAGTTTATTATAAGCATGTAATATTCATCCCTAGCTGATCCTTTTTGATATAAAGGTTAATATTTTCGTACCAAAGAAGTTATTGTTGCGTGCATAGTGCCAAGATGATGCATTGTTATCTTTGGGATATATATGGGCTGGGAGCAAACCAAGAAAGCTAAGAGCATTATGCAGAAAGAACGCAGTTGTCT